AGAATAAATTAATAACTGCAAGGCCCAGGAAAGCCTTCAGCCAGTTTTTCTACCTGGTGTTGCTGAGGGCACAGCCTGGCTCTTTAACCCTCAGAGGAAGCTGCAGGTGCACAGTTTAGGGCAAAAATCTGGGAATTCAGAATCACTGCCCCTTCCCAGAGCTGACAGGAGGGAAGAGTCCTGTGCTGGGAGCCAAGCAGGAGCTCACATAATGTCTCCAGGCACAGGGCAAAGCAGCCAGGGGTCAGGTTTCTGTCCTCCAGGACAGCATAAAAATAGAGGTGAGGAAAAGGAATTTGCTGAGCAATGGGAGAGCGGGCCTCATCCAGAGGCTAGCACAGCCCCTTCCCCAGCAACTGGATAAAGAAAGATAGAATCCCCAGGGGGAAAGCTGGGCAGCTCCCTTATATGCCCCAGCTGGCATTAATCCCACTAACAAGCTGGGTCTTTCTGCAAAGCGGGATCAGCTCTGCTCCAGCTCAAAGCAACAATCCTGTTAAAGGGCGGGTGACCAGGGCAGAAGCAGCCAATTAGTCCATGCATCACCAGCTGCATGCCCGGGGCTCCCTGCAGCCCCCACAATGCTCTCCAGGACATTCATGGTGGAGCAGGCTCTGAATATCCCAACGTGTCCTGCTGCTGGGGCAGGACAACCCTTGACGAGCTAACCAAGCCCTAATGAAGGGCTGGAGCTGTGCCTTATCCCCCAGCCCATGCCCACCCATGCATCACCCAGGCACGACTCCCCCAGTCCCTGCTGGGGTGGCTGTGGGGGCTCAGCTCACCCTTGGGCCCCCTCCCCAGAGGGGACCAGCCCTCTGCTCCATCAGCAAGGGCTCATTGAGGCTCCTGAGAGAGCCCAGACGAGCCTGGGGAGGAGACATAAATTACAGCAGCAAAACAATACCCCATTGTCAGGCACTGCCACAACACCAGCCCGTGCCAGGGCTGAGCCTGGCCTGGGGAGGACCGGCACCAGCAGGATGGTCCAGGCCTGGCTCAGCAATGCAGGACCCTCTCTACCCCCATCCCGGCTCTGGCTGCAGCACGAGCGTTGCGTTAATCCAGTGGTTTTCAGATGAAAGCTCTGTGCAGCCCCAGCCCCCCACAACCACCCCCCAGCACGAGGTTGGGACTGGTGGAAATGCTGTCTGGGGCCACCGCCAGTCTTCATCCTCAGGGCTCGGCTCCTGGACAGCCTTTTTTTCTCCCATTTCTGCTGATATAGAGTGGAAGGAGGAACCCAAACCTGCCGGCAGCAGACACGGCGCCTGGAGCCGTCCCTGCAGTGACAGCGCCGTCCCCACAGTGAGCAGAGGCCAGTGGCTGGCGTCCAGGTCTAACAACCAGGATCATCATCACGGTGCCCATATATATTTTTTAAGTTCAGGTCAATAAAAAGCTTCAGTATATGCTTTATTTTGAGGGAAGTCAAGGGAAATATGTGTGTATAAGGCGGCCCTGTGTGTCCAGAAGAAGGATGGGTCTCCCAACAAGCAGCACCCAGGGTATCTCTGAAGCTGCCCTCCCTGGTGGAAGCACAGATGCCCTCTACTATCCTCCTCTGTCAACATGGCTGACCTCAAAAGAGTTACTAGCCCAAAGAAAACAGCCCTGGTCGTTTGGTGACCATACTCTCTCACATCAGCCAGGCTGGTGCATCCCAGTTGTGCTGATGCCACCAGCGTCCGGTCCCAGGTGGGGGCGATGCCCACCCTGAGCCCCAACCTGCGGTCCTGCAGCGTGGTTGTGGGCTCACCCGGGAGCAGCAGCAGGAGGACTAGAGCCAATGTCCTGGGGGTTTAGCTCCTCTTTCGTTCCCTGCATTTATTCTTCGCCTGTGAAATTATTAATGGCTCGTGATTCATCAACACCAAGAGGGAGATTACAGACACGTGTGCTTATTCAAGTGGCTCTCCAATACACACACACGCGCGCGTATATCTGCAGATATGTATTCAGAGGCGCCTCTAATCCGCCAACGCCATTGTTAAGGCTGTTTTAGGGATATATTGCACATTTATCCCTGTCCTGGTGCTGGCATCTCATTAGCCACAAGGCAGGAACGAGCTCAGCATCCCTGTGCTGGGCTCGGCAGGGGCTCAGCGCTGCCGCTGGCATTTCAATTAGTGGCTCTGTCCCTGGAGCACTGGAGCCACCAGGGCTCTGGCTACCCCATTACCCATACCAGTGCCAACCAGTTACACTCCAGACTGGTGGGAGCCCTCCAGGTTTATACCAGGGGAATCACCAACAGGATTTAACCCCCTGGTTATTGCATATACACAAGAGATAGTGACACTGTGATGCAGCCAGCATCCCATATAGCCTGCAAGGAAGACAGAGGAGTGGCAAACTCCCTGGCATGGAGAGGGCATCAAGTGGTGACTCTTTACGCCCAAATCCCCTGTTTTTACTCTCCACTGGGAGATCCATGCCTGATCACAGCACCCCCCTTCCATCCTTCCCAGGAAAATCCCTCTGGCTGGCCCCGCCACCACTCCCCACCCGGGATGTGCCAGGTCTAATTGCTCACCAGCTCCTGCAGGCTTTGAAAGATGAAAAGCCCTCAACAGGAGAAGTTTTGAGTGTTCATGGTTTATTAATGGTGAGCCATTATTATTTTACCTTTCAAGCACTCGGGTGATAGTGAGGAGGGAAGGAGAGGGGGGAAGCAACATGAACCCTCTGTGATTTTCTTCTCCATCTCCAGCCATCAAGCACCGCCTGCACCAGCCCCTCAAGCAAATGCCTCCACTGCTTTCCAAGGGGCTGTTTTACAGATTTATGGTGGGTCCCCAGTAAAACAGCATGGGAGAAGCAAACAAACAAAGCAGCAGAAGCGAGGAACCTCCAGTGCTTCATCACTGGGCTCAGCCTTCCCCATGAGGAAGAGCATCCCCCTGGCACACACCCCACCATGGCCCCAGCCCCTCCACCGAGCAGAGCCATGTGGAGGTTTATCTGCTGCCTGCCCCATAATTTGTCCTACTCCCATGGTTTTGCCTGCTGCATCTCCCTGCAGCTCCCACTGAAATCTTCGCTGTGAATTATCATCCCCAAAGGGCTGGGCTGTGAGCAGACACGCTGAGAAAGAGGAAAAGGGGAGTTCAGCAGCACTGTGTTTCCCACCGAGCACTGCTGGACCAGAGCTTGGCACCAAGATGCTCCTGGGGGTCTGATGGAGGAGAGCGGTCCAGACCCTTCCACAGATAAAAACTCCCACCCCATCACTGGGATGCAATGCTACTGCAGAGCAGGGAGAGGGCAGGGAGCAGGCGGCCACGCGGGGACGCAGAACAGCACAGGGGTGCAATGGTTTTCAAAGTTGTTTTTTTTTTTTATTGGCATAAATAATTCATACACTGTCACCTCACCAAACACTGCACGAGAAACCACGGGAACAAATGGCTATCCATTTCTGCAGGTCACAGAGATTCGCACTCAGTCAGACAGCTGAAATTATAAATACTTTCTTCAAGTGTAGAAAACGTTATAAATGTTACTGTACAAATTTACATCAGGGAGATCCATCGTGCCTTTCTCAGCATTTTTTGTTGTTGTTGGTTTGTGGGTGATAGTTTTTTTGCACCAGAATCAACTGTTCTTTTCCAGTGACGAGAGATTTGCAACAACGACAACAAAATATATATATATATATATATATATTTATGTATATATTTATAAAAAGAAAGGGGAAAGAGGAAAAGGGAAATGAAAGTCAGCTCATTCTGCAACAGTCAGAACTAACACAGAGAAAACAAAGCAGGCCATCGAGTTCAGTTTGAAACTGTACAGGATTTAGAGCTCATTATATATGTATATATCTATATACATACATATAGCAATATGTATATATATTTATATATACTTTATGTACAAGAAAATGTAACAGCATACTTTACAGGGACCAGAAATTAAAGAAGGCTTTTGCAGCTGACCAAGCTTCCAGAAGAATCACTATTTGCCAAAAAATTAAAAATAAAATAATATAAAATAAATAAATGGCGAAGAAAAGAGGAAGGAAAGTGAAGGTGCCCAGCAGAGTGCTGGCCACCAGCAGGCTCAACCCAGGGCTCCCCTCGGCACTTGGGGGGTGCAGACAGCATCTCATGGCACCACCAACACATCACCCTTCTCCTTAGCACGGCCAAAGGGACCAAGCTGTAGGCACCAACACTTCCATAGCATCTAGCAAGGGTTGACCAGCTCCTCCACCTCCAAGACATTAATTTCTGCCTACTGTCTGTCTTAATCATCTCAGCTCCTGCCATGGTCAAGTACTGGACAGAAGTCATCGGGGCTGGACTCTGAGCTAATGATCCCCAGGAACTGCCTAGTCGTGGCTCAGTAAGGATTTGGGTCATTTTGGGGGAAAGGTGGATTGAAGAAGAAGCAGGACTGGGAGATATAGTTTAGCAGCCCTAGGAGGACATAGTGCTTTGGGGCCATGCAGCACCACCACCTCCATCACCGGTAGTGGTTTCACTAAGCCCCAAATGCGGTATTCCCCTTGAACAGTGAAACGATGGAAAGAAACCTCAGGCAGCAGCGAATTCAAGGACTGGGGAGCTCAGGGAAAAGCCTCAGAGGGCGACTGAAAGGATAAAGCAGCTGAGAGCTGGAGGACCAGGCCAGGAGAGCATCGTTGGGGCTGCTCCACTGCCAGAGCTCAAGGACGTACCCTGGGGCTGGGGATGGTTCCCTGCATCTCAAGATACTGCTCAAAACACCACCGTGCTAAAACTGGCTCTGCTCCCACCCAGTACATCTGGAAACAACCCCTGTCTCTTCTCTAGCTCACGCAGCTAAACTGAGCCACCGGATGGACCTTCTCACTCCTTCGGATCTCCTATTAGAGGGCATTGTGGAGAGCTTCTCCCGCATTCTCTCCCTGCTGGAGGGCTGGATATTTTTAAACTGGGGAAAAAAAACCCTCACAAAGACAGCGTCAAAAAACAAAGAACAACAACAACAAAAAAGTAAGATTTGTTGTTTGGTTTTTTTTTAATAATTAAGACTTTCAAAAATAAGAAGGCATGATGCAAATAACACGGCTGCATAAACAACCGTTGCTGCACTGAATGGAAGGGAAGGAGCTGCTCTTCTGGGCTAATTTACGATAAATACAGGGCAGCTATTTTTCCATCGATACTATTGTGCAATGGCTCTGCTCATGGCCTGGCTGAGACGTTGTGGTGAGGGAAGGGGGGGAGAAAAAGGAGGGAGATGAGGGAAGAGTTGGCAAGATTTGTTGGCTATAGAAGCATTTAGCTCCTTTCAGATGCCCGCAGTCCAGGAGAGAAATGCTTGGCTGAGTCTGCTGCAGAGAGCCCTGTGCTCCTGGTCAGGACCTGATGTCATGGAGTAACCAAACCAACATGCTCATCAGTTCACTTGTTTCCTTGAGTCTTGGTCTATAAAATAGAGCAGGCATCTGCCAGCGGCTGGTGAGACCCCATGGGGGGATATGTCAAGGTGAGACTTCCCAGGCAAGTAGAGGGCTTGGGGCACTGAGAGCAAACCCACAGTAAGTCTTTCAAGATTGGTGTTGTACCTTCCACCATAAATCTGCACAACGCCTATCAGGCTGCAGCACTTTGCCACCCCTGGTGCTGAGCATCACCCATGGTATCACCTCCTTCATCCTTCCAATATATTCCACTTGCTACTGCTCACCTAGGAAGTTCACACCTACTTAGAAACTAAAACCACTGAGTGAGAAGGACACCAGCTTTCTACAGCGATCACTCCACCTGAACATGGTTTGGGTGATTTCATGGTGAGACCTCCCCGCACGCCCCCAGTAGCTGAGACCTCCAGTGATGGAGATGTGCTCCCTCCCACAGACCTCGAGACCACTGCAGGTGAAGGCATTGGTGAAAACTCAGAGAGACTCTGAGGCTTAGTGCAACGTTTATGGCACACATGCGCATAAGCGCAGAGGATGGAGAAGGCATGAGACAGCGGGGAAGGGTTGGGATGGGGAGGATGGGCAGCAGAGGATATTGCTGCTGTGGCCCAGGGTGAGATGAAGAAGATGGGGGATGTGTGTGTTAGCAAGGGAAGAGGTGGGATGTGGAGGAGGAAGAGGGCAAACAGCCATGGAGCATCCCTCCTCATCACTGGGATGCTCAGCCACCTACACTGAGCTCTGCAGCGTCACACCCAGGGGACCAAAAACCGCCTGTGCTGCCTGGTGCAGGGGGCAATTAGCACAAACGAGGGCTCATCCTGCCCTCATTGGCTTGTTCCACTTGGCCTCAGCATCAAAGGTAGAAGCATCATCCCAACTTCTTGCAAAACATCTGAGAGCGAGATGTGACTGCATGGCACAGCAAATGTCTCAAAAGCATCAGCAGGAGACTCATCCAGACTGACCCTCTGCCAGCACGCTTGGAGGCCAGATTCACTCCCCTTCTCCTGCCCACCTCAGATTTTATACATATGCATGTGTGCAAATTTTAAGAAATAAAAGCACCTTTGCAAATGCCACCACGATTGAAGTAACACCTCTTCCTAGCTGCAATTAGGTTTCTAATCTTCATTTACTTATGCTAAAGTGGTTCAAATGCTGGCAAGGGGGAGTTAGAGGAGCAGCAAACAAACTAGGGCTGGTTAGTTTGCAGAGCCTCCTCATGTCTCCAAATTAAAGCTAACTTAGACAATGATTGAATTATTCAGGATGGTTCCTGTCAAGCAATTATGCTCAATAAGGGCCTGAAAACACAATTTGCTATCATCTGTCACTCGACAGCTCATCTAATGAGCTCGAGGGCCCATCTGAGCTGATAGGGAGAGGGAAATACCAGCACACAGTATTCAGGTGGCAACACCATCTCTGAGACACTGCCTAAAGACCATCTCTTCAGGAAGGTCCAGGATTTGGCTGATGGAATATGAATATGCAGGGGAAAACAGTCCAGGGCATGGCTGCTTATTCAGCTGAGATGTCCATGGCTGCCACGCGTGGGGCTGGGAAGGGAGATGCTCTGTACAACCAGAGCCTGTCTGCATCCCTGGCTCTGGCAATGAGCCTGGGAAAGGCAACAGGAGGGGAAGGACCCCAACCCCAGACACTCCACTCTGTCCAGCCACAGAGTGTCCCCAGACCTGGGGTTTTCGGAGAGCCTTCAGGAGAGAGGATCAAAGCCAAGAGCAAAGCAGCGCCGGGGAGGGTGAGAGAGAAAGGCTCGCTGATTAGATACGCACCAGGGCAAACGGCTAAATTAAAGGAATGTGGAGATGCGTCCTGCTGAGAGGGAGACCTGGGGGGGAGCATAAGTGGGCATGGCTGGGAGGTAGAGAAGCCACTTGTGAAAGGTCACTGCTGCCCATGAAGGGGCTGCCGAGGGTGGGGGAGCAGGATTCCTCCAGCTCTGGCTCTGCAGATGCATTTCCCCACGGGGGGCAGCTAATAGCAGCAGCACTCCCTGGCCCTGGCAGGCTCCAATGCTAAACTCATGAATCAGCAACATTTCCCCCTTTCTTTCATTTAAAAAATAAATAAATAAATAAACCCACCAAGAAGCAAGCCCTCCCCAACCAAGCATCATGAGCACTGACCATGCTGATTGGGCCCAGAGGAGCCCTGGGGTTAAACTGAAGCTGTCTGCCTCATGGGTTGCCCCTGCTTGGCAGGGAACCAGCCCAAGACCTGCCCCCATGTGCATGGAGAGCTGCTCGTTGTCCCCATCCTGCTGCAGCCAAGCATCCCCCGGGGCTCTCGGGGCTCAGCCGCCGGCTCGGCTCCTCCAGCCCTTGCAGAGAGGCTTCATCACTGGAGGTGAATCACTGTGGGGGAAGAGGCTCATTCCCATCCCGCAGTCGGCCTGCAGCGCCCGCTACTCCTCTGTAGCACAGGGTGGGAAGCAGAGAGGAAGAGGAGAACCGCAGGGGGAGGAAGGCACCGTCCCTTAACTCCTCCCGTCACAGCCTGGAAGGGACACAACATGGCAGAGTCAGCACTGGGCATTTTGCCCCACAGCACCGTGGGGTTTTGCAGGGAAGCTCATTGCAAAAAGCCTTCCCGAATGGGTTTGCCATGGGGCTGCTCCCAAATGCAGCAGCACCGCGGGAAGCCGTGCACTTCTGCACCTCCCCACCAGCCCAGTTTAGGTCCTCCTGGTGCAGGCAGCTCTCAGGTTTAGTATCATCTAGAGAGGAAAGGGCTTGCTGGGTACCACACACCTCACCCCTTCCCTGCGTGTCCAGGCTCTCCCAGCAGCAGGACCCACCAGGGGTTTGTCCCCCATCCCCTCCGTGCAGGGATGGCAGAGCTGGCTCATCCCGGCGCACAGCTGGAACTCCTGGGCGAGCAGGGACCCTGCAGGGAAGCCAGGACCTCACACAGCAACAGTGGCCGAAGCCGAGTCCCTAAGGAAGGAGGCAACTCAGATGGAAAGCGAGTGACGAGCTGCAGAATCCTCCCTCCCCGGAGAGAAAAAGAGGGGGCTGGTAATTAAGGGGAAGCTGCCGAATAGCCACAGCCCATGGCAGGCAGAGCGTGGCTTGGTGATTGCAAAAACCTTCCCAAACCCAAGTGAGCAATTACACAGCCTGCTGCTTTGGGGTTCACCAACCTTCAGCTTTCCTTGCCCAGCTGCCAGAGCCACCCTGGTGCTTGCTTGGAGCACGGATTGGTAATTAACTTCCCTCCTGATTAACAGCTTACGTTCTGGGTGATTTGGGGGCCATCTGACCACTGCCTTTGTGCTGTTCCTGGGAGCGCCTCATCAGCCCCAAGAACATGGGGATGGGAGGTAGCACAGGGGACACTCCAGCAGCTTTTGCTGTGCCTGTAGCCTTGGGGCCACCTGCACTTGCCACACAGATAAGGAAGCAAGGAGGTTTGTTATCATATGCAGGAGGAGAAATCAGCATCTCTCACCCTTGGTCGAGTCCAAGATGGGTGCTTGAAGCAGTCCAAAGTGCCCTCACCTCGCTCCCTTAGCTCATCTTTCCCTCCCGCCCCATCCCAGTTTCCAGCCTCCGCAGTCTGGGGATGCACGCTGGGAGAAGGAAAAATCTCCCCCGTGCATGCAACCTCCGCCTGGCGTTTGGTCCTATTTGTCATAATATGACAAATTCAAGGGAAGAAAATGAGTTTCTAAGTGATTCTTCTGCATTTTTCCTGCTGTTACCAACAGGCCAGATCCTGAAACCCTGACTGGGGACCCATTTATGCAGCACTTGCTGAAGCAGGGAGATGTGACTAATCCAAAGCAATGAAATGGAGCAGGATTTGGCCATGGGCTGTCTGCAGGAGAAGAGATCTTCCCTTCTCCCACCACTGGAAGCTGTGATGCCTGACACAGGCTGCAATTCTAGGGAGGGACCCCGGGCATGGCAAGCCCCCATCAATTAATCTGGGCAAAAGAAGGAAAAACGGCCTTTCCAGGAGGAAAAACTACTCTGAGTGTGGTACACAGGCAGGCACAGGAGCCCTGACTAATGTCCCCAAAGGAGATGTCCCCAAGGTCCTGGCACCAGCCTGCGCCTGGACCTACCCTGCTTCTTCCTCACAGCACTGGTGGAACACATCGCCAGGCTCCTCCTGATCATCTCCAACTATTTTCACAGGCTTTTTCACCCCAGCGAGGACAGCCAGTGCTGCAGTGACAAGTGGCACGGGCACAGCACTCTGTGACCATACTTCTTACCCACCCTTGCCCACCCACAGCTTGTCCCTCTGCTCCCCCAGTGCCAATACCAGCTGCTAACAGGGAGAGCAGGGTCTCAAGGAGGGCAGACGGAGCTGTCTGCTGGCACAGGGAGGGACACGCAGGGGCAGGGACTTACTCTGCCGACTTCCAGAAGTGCCCAGGGTGGGAAAGGCGACGGTTGCGCTTTGGCAGTTTCTCCAGCATGTCCATGAGCTTTGTGAAGGTGGGTCTCTCCTCTTGCTCGTAGGCCCAGCAGAAGAGGAGTATGTCCTGTAGCCACACAGGGTGAGTGCGTGAGCAAACCAAGCCAGTCCCTCTCCTAACACAACCCCCACACCCAACGTCCACCCTGCAAGGACCCCATCTCCACCACTGCACCCTGGTGAAGGGCTGGAGTGGAGGGGATGTGTCCATCCCATGAAGACCTCGTCTCCATCACCACATCCTTGCGAAGGGCTGGGGCAGAGGGCATGTGCAAGCTGAGCTGATACTTGTGGCACAGCGCAGGACCAAACCACTGGCTGGGGAGGGAGGGACCCCTTGCTTTTCTGCTGTCAGATCCTGGGCAGCACAGAGTGTATCTCAAAGGGACCCTCTGCCCGGGGTGGGTGCGAGTGGGGCACATTCCCTCTCCATGTACACACACACAGGGCTCCAGCACCTGCCCCACACCACCTACCGAGATCTCCTTGCCCATCCCAATCTGGCTGAGGTTGGGCTTCATCCCTCTTCCCACCTGCCAGATTATTGCCTCCGCTGGCTGTGTCTTGAAGGGCCATTCCCGCGCGTGCAGCTCGTACCAGATCGTGCTGTTGGGAGACAGTGGGGATTAGAGATGGGAGGAGCTGGGAGGCATCCTGAGGCAGGACACGTCTGACCATTGCACCCACATCCAAAATCACCAACATCCAGGAGAAGTTTCATCCCAGATACGACACCAGAGTGGTCAGCATTCATTACAGAGACAGAGCTGCTCCCATTTTCCAGAGGGGGAAACTGAGGCTGTTGACTTGACCAGGAGCAATCCACCGGCCTGCCACAGTCCCCAGTTTACACCAGGGAAGAGACTGTCCTGTGGGCAGAAGGATGGAGGCTGATGGGAAGCACGGGCAGAGACATGGGCAGAGGCATGGGCAGAGCCGCCAGCCAGCCTGTTACATCAAGTGGGAATCTCCTGCCGGGCTGCAATAGCGCTTCACCCCACTGCCCACGGAGCAGCTTAATAGATGATGTGGGGGGTAAATACATAGTCCAGCTGCTGGACTGGCATTTCTAACTCTGCCACCTGCTCCAGCTGTGCCAGGCAGTGAGCACCAGGGAAGGATGAACCCAAGCATTCGCTTTCACTCTGACTTTTCCTTTTTTCTTCTGCAAAAAGCACTCCATGCCACAAAAAGCTGTCCAAGCCATGGCATAAACTATCCTCTGTGCCCTCACCAGGTGATGGCACACGTGAACCCCCGGCCATCTGCCACTGCACCACTCTTATCGCTAAGCCAAGCCCTCCTTTCCATGAGGACTCCCAAATCCAAGGGAATATCCCAAAACAAGGGCATCTCCTACTGAGCTGGCGGCTGCCCCCACGGTCCTCCGCCCCCGCTACCACCTGGGAGTTTTACATCCTCATTTTCTGGAACCCAGAGGATGGATGAGCCCCGACTCCTGCAGTGCTGGTCCCAATTTCCAAGACAAATTCCATGGAGCTGCTTTTCCCTTCAAAGGATGCCATCACGGCCGGTTAAAGCAGCAAGAATCAAGGTTAAAATGGCCTCAGGGTGGAAAACTCTGGTGGAGAAAGTCTGATAAATGAAAGATTGCTCTTGGATAGGGGGGATCCCTGATTTTGGAACTCGGCTGTCCTCATTTTGGAAAAATATGCACCATTTGGCAATAAATCTCCAAACATTTGAATAATGTGAGACATTTGTAGGTGCTGCAGGCACAGAGGAATTGGGGGGCTGGAGAGGGGCAGGTCCCAGCAGCACAGGACGAGATGCTCAGAGAGGAATGGGCATTTTGAAGGTGCCCAAACCCATCCAATGCAGTTAAATGTAAGTTTCTAGTTGGGAGTTTGGAGCTTAATTTTTCAACTTCCCACTTTCAGATGCATCCAAAATATTTGGGCTGCATTTCCTGAGGTATGGATGGTGCTGTGGAAAGCAGTCTGCTGTTCCCTCTCCCTTTGCACGAGAAGACCATGCATCTAATTAATGATTGCCATGATCTCTCAGGCTTTGGCGAGTGCATGCCACCAGCCTCAGTCCCCTACTCTGCACCACCCTCACACACACTTTAATTTGACATTTTTGTCTCATTTAAATGGTCTTTTCCTCTTTTTGTCACTGATCCCCAAATCCCTAGAGGGAAGCGGCGATGGCAATAACCCTCCAGATCATCTGTGAGCCTCCCAGGCTCAGAGGAGGGCAGCAGAAACAAGAAGGAGGAAAAATGTGGGAAAATCTTTTAATCTTTTAAGGAAACTCATGCTTTACATAAGGGCAGAGCTCACACTCAAAACAAAAAGAAAAAATTAAGTCTAAGTAACCAACTCACATTTAGTTCAATACAGTCCCTTAATTACTTCTTTATTTTTGTGCTAAAGTTATAGCTCGGGGAGGGAAAAAAAAAAGCCAGACCCTTTCAGCTGTAATTACTGTAGTTTTGATGGAAATATCGCCTCCGATAACAGCCCCACGCTCGCTAATCCCCTCAGCCTTTAAGGTATCCATGAGAAAATTAATCTGCTGGGTAAAACCCCCAGCCCTACATCCGCCTCCAGAAAGGTTTTATCAGGGCACGATTGGGCTCCTGCCATAAGGGAGGCTCTTTCAGATAAACGGCAGGAGCGATTTGCTGAGTTCACTGAAGAAGACTCAGTTCTCCTCTTCTTGGCCTTTTGGCATCTCCTCCCCCCAGCAGCCCCAGCTCGCAGTGGCATCCATTGCCGCCAGGCCCTCTGCACCTGGCTGGTGGGGGGAAATGGGGTGTCCGGGGACTCCCAGACCTGTGTTCCCAACTCTCTGAATCCCCAGCCAACATCTGGAGCACCTTCTCATTGGTACCCGCCCCAGTAGGATGCAGGGGAGCAATTACACCAGGCTGACATCCCCAGGATGTTCCAGATCCCACTGCCAGGAGCCACCCTGGTCCATAGCCAAAACAGGAGGATTTTGTGATTGGGGGTGGGTGGGGGTGGGGGGTTAACTTGAAATTTCTTGAAGCGTGAAGGTGCTCCGAGACTCGCAATGGGGATTCCTGGAGGCCATGTCCCTGGGGTGTTGTGGCAAGTGGTGTCCCCATCCCCTCTTGGCTGCTCGTGGCAGCTCACACCTGATACAACTGTGCCAGTTCTCTGCAGTTTGCCCACTCAGCGGGGACTCACCCCAGTGCAAAGACATCTGAGTGCTTAGAAAAGGGCAGCTTGTCCTCCTCCGTGTCCGGCGAGAGCTGGCGGATGATCTCAGGAGCGAGGTGGCACAACCAGCCATTCTGGATCCTCAGCTTGTTCTCCCGCCTGCCAAAACACAGAGCCGAAGTCAAGGGTACCCTGGGGGGGAACAAAACGACCACCTCGACACCAGAGAGCAGCTCCCCAGCCCTCCCACCCTCTCCCCAGGGCATTCAAGCCTGGTTTTCCCTATGGCATCCTAGCAAAGTCAGCTTTTAACCCTCCTCTGAGAAATGCTGGTGTGGTGACTTTGCACCTGGCAGGGCACAATTTCATCGCAGGACAGTGGTAAGGGGGAGCTTCGGCTCTGCTTAAAAGAGGGGTGTGGGGTAAAGCCCAGCAGCACTGACACCTGAGGAGGCCCCACTGTGGTTTGAGCAGGAGGTTGGACTGGAGACCTCTAAGGGTCTCTTCAAATCAAACCCACCCTATAATAATGGCCCGGAAAACAGTGTTTTCAGGTGTTTGGTCCCAAACAGCCCCTCTAGCCCACCTCTGTGTCCAAGCCTCCCATGACATCAACCATGGGGGCAGCCTGGCTTCTTTATAATCCCCTGCCCCACAACATGTAGTGGCTGATCCTCGCTGTTACATTGCTATTAAATCCCAGAGTGCCACCCAGGATTTCACTTCATTTTTAATCCCCCTCAGCTAACCTCAGCCTTCTCTTCCTCTGTCTCCTCAAGGTTCCCCTCCTTGGTACAAATATATTAGGCTCCTTTAGCCAACGGCTGAGGATGACATTGGTTGTTTCTTCATCCTTTATATCCTCCAACAGGCACATAGGATGCACTGTTGGCTTAAAAAGGGTCCGCAGGCAGGGAAATGGGCAGGGACCACTGGTGGTGGTAACACATTAAGCAGCTTGATTGTGTGCCCAAGCTCAAATTCGGCAGCATAGTTATGCAGGATGTAGCAAAAACTCTCCAGTGTCACATCAGAGTAGAGAAGGAAGAGCCTGCTGACTTGTATCAAGGAATTTCTCCCTGTTTGTGCTTTGATGCCCTCCCAAAGATGGTGATGTGGAGGAATAAGGGATGGCTGCAGGGTCATTATCCTCCTGAACTTCAGCCTGGGGCCAAAATCCCAGAGCCAGGTACCAGGGGACACCAACCAGGCACGGGCATCTTCACCCACCCCTGAGGCAGGATGACAAGCTCCCCCCACAGTCGCTGACTCCTTGGCTGGCCTTTCCCTCCGCGGCTGCGTGCACACAACACGCACAATCCCAAGATGACACAGTCCAGATCCTCCTGGCCACAAAGCCATGCCTGTCCCTCAGCATCACCTCCAGGTTTGGCAGCATTCAGAGGAGGAACCCCCTCCCTAGGGAAGGACCCTGACAGTCCAGGGAATTGCTGATTAAGCCTCTATGCCCCCTCCGGGGACTCGACAGCTCCTCTTCACCCTGCTGTGGCAGAGGCACTGCCGCAATCAGCGGCTCCGGCGAGGCACTGACCCTCCAGCCCCGGGAACTGCAGGCAAGAGCACTTCGGCGCAGGGGGGAGGCTTTCAGCTCCCCAGCTGGCTCCTGCTGCCATCCTCCAGCCCTACGTGGCTCTTAATTACAAGCCAGCATTAAGCACCAGAGCAATTAGAAAAGACACGGAGGAGCTCGCTCATCCTTCCCTGTGTCTACGCTCTCCATCTCCGGGCAGGCAGCAGGGAGCAGGACACAGCAGGCAGCACTCGGATCTGCTCCACCACCCTCAACAAGACCAGGACTTTTTTTGTTCCATCAAGTCACCCAGTGCTGTGACATGCCACAAGTGGTGTTCAGGCTTGCCTCAGGATGCTCTGGGGACTGGATTGGGCTCTGCAGCTCCCATGCAAGCCCAGCCTCGTCCTTCTGCAAAGATCACTTATGTCTGAGCATGCAGCAACAACGGTTGAGTTTTAAAGCAATCCCAAATGTAGTTCAATTACAGCAATTTGAGGTTTCATGACAAAAGTTTGCCTGACTTCATAATCAACCTGGCCACTTCCACTAGCAGAAAGCAGCTCGGTGTCTTCTAAACCCACCAAAGGACAAGCCAGCCCCAAGGAAAAAGCAAGAGCAGAAGGGCTCTTCAGAGCACTCAAGACCCACCTTGCACTCCTAATTAGAAAGCAGCCCTACTAAGCCCAACAACATTTAAATAAAGGAGAAATAAATCTAATTTCACAAGGATAAGACACCAGATTATGAAGTCTCTGCAGAAAGTATTTTAGTTCCGATAGCCATCTCATTTTTCAGCAGCACAAGCATGTCACAGCATGGATGGACACTGCAAACTCCTTGTGCCAGATGCTTTCATGAACTGAAGGTGAGCCTGTTCTAGGAGGATGAGGAGGATTTTTAAGCCTTTTTTTTTTAACCCTAGTGAACAGAGGCCAGTTTGTGTTTCTCATTCACATCTGAAGCAATATCACTGTCCTTCACTTGACCTGCAAAAATTTACTTCCTTCTCCATATGTGCTCATCCATGTAAGCTCCAAGGACCCAAAACTAGGATTTATCATCCTTCTTCATCTGAGAGATACCATAACCAGCAAAAAAAAACACCCAGAGAAGGGAAATCAGACCTGCAGACACTTGCTGCTTCAAAATTCACTGCAGCTGATGAGCGAGGATCCCCAAAGCCACCTCTCAGCTCCCCACCAGCAGTCCAGGACAGCCACACTGAAAGCTTCTCAGGGCAAAAATGTCCCCATCTTCTAAATTTTTCTACCAAAATGCTGCTCATTTCAGTTCAGCCTTGCATTTCTGATCACCCCCACACTGCCATCCTTCCCATCCTGAACTATCTCCTGGACTTTATCCCCCAGATGACACTCCAGTCTTGAGCAGAGACAGACACACATTGGTCCGCCCCATTTCCCCAGCATTTTGTCTCTCATTTTATCTCCAGAGCATCTCTGACCTTCACAGCAAAGTTCCCTGGCAAAATTTGGCCCTTTTTGCCCAAATCCTTTTACCACTGCTGGAATGAGCTTCACTTCTCCACTGTGGGGAGAGCAGCAGCATTGCTGGATTTCTTGGGCTTTCTAAGCTTTTGACTAAGTTTGTGCTAAAACCAGATGATATTTATACAAGCAGAATGGAAAGAGTGGCTGCCTGGCTTGCTGCAAGAGGTGTGGGATGGAGAGGCAGCCATCACCTTTTCCTCTAATCCTTCGACTTCATCACATGGAAATTGGAAGAAAATACATCATTTCCAAGGTGCATTTTATCTCCTGAGCATCTTCACCATGAAGTGACAATCAGCCACAACAACCTCTCCAGCAACAAACCCCATCACGTGGGGTGATGGAGACCAAAAGGACCTGAGGGTGGGTACCACGCAGCAGGAGGAAACCTACCTGAGCTACCAGTGCTGATAATGTCACCCTTGGCCCATGCTGCTTCTGACACAAGGGGTCTAGTGAAAAAACACTCTCCCACTGGGAAAAGTCGGCAACACGCTTTTTTTTGGTTTTGTTTTAACAAAAAAAGGAAAATATAATCTTTGGGGTTTTTTCCACTCTTCTGTCTCCTTCCACTTCCCACCCCAGCTTTGCTTTGCTTCCTTTCCACAGCCACTCAAACTCTTTGCCCTGCCACGCCTACAGCTGGAAAATATCTCAAAACACTGGGAAAAAAAATATTCAATAAGAAACATTTACTAAATGGACTTGATTCCAAACCCAAAGAGACCAAAAATGTCACAATGCTCTAAATGTCCTGAGGTTGGCTCTCATTTTCTCCATGTCTTCCTCCATGCCCTGGCTCAGTGCAGACACCATGGCCAGATGTCTGCAGCACCCGAAAGGTCACCAGAGTTGCCAGGGGACAATCAGAAGGATGGCACCACTCGACCCAGGCTGCTGCTCTGGCTGCAGTGCTCATCAGCTCAGAGGCAGGAGATGAAGCAGATGCCAGGGGATTATAACAACAGTGTTAGGGAAAGGCCAAGGAATGAACCAACTTTGCTGGCCCTGGTGAAACAAGCCCTAGGAGCATCTTCCTGCAGAGTGGTTTGGACATGGAAATGATGCATCCCGTGGGAAGAGGTTGGGTCCAAGAGACCCTGCCCCAGGCCAGGTCCTGCCTCTCTGAACCAAGCTATTGGAGACGTGCACACAGCATCATGCTCCTTCCTACTGATCAAAAGCAACTCTGCCTTCCTGATGCTAGGTTTAAAAAATAAATTAACCCAAACCAAATCAAAACGAGATGCAACTTCTGCACCCAAGGAGCAGAACAGTTTGTTTTCACTGCTCAGTACTCAGTCTAGACCCGCCTCACTGCAGAAACCCCAGTCCCTCTCTCACCATCTCTCTGGGGTTTTTTTCTGCAAACTGAATGCTGGCATGGGGCTGCGTTCTGAGGGAGCACTGCTTGTGGAGCAGAGGGGTTTCTGCTGGAGCTACGTGTCTTGGTCTTTTCCCAAAGCAAGCCTCCTCAAAAGCAAAATCCCAGGAGGTGAGGTGGTGAAAATCCCAGGGCAGTCCCAGGACACTCAAAGACACCTTGTGTCGACTGAGGCTGCAGACCCAGAAAGATACTTGCAGAGGAGGTTTGGGGCTTCCTCTCTGTGTTCCCAGATCAAAGGGGAGCTCTAGGGCAAGGGGAAGAACACCAGTATTTCCAGCATGCCATGTCATACCTGCCTGCTTGAAGAACTCCCGAGATGCTGAAGAGGCCAAAGTCTGTGATCACCACCTTCCCATTGTCGTAGAAAACGTTTTTTGACTTGAGGTCCTTGTGAAGGATCCCCTTGGCATGCAGGTAGCCCATTCCCTAGGATGGAAGAGAGAGAAAAATACCCCAAAACTGCAAAAGCAGCACAGACAGACAGGATAACGCCAGAGCAGGGGCAGCCCCACAATTACCAAGCCAGGGTGAGCTGGGCTGCAAGTGTCCCTGTGCTGCAGTGGCACATCCACTACTGACCTCTAGGTGGGCCACAGCCAGAGGCTGCAGGTCCCTAAATGTCCCTGCAGAAAGGGCAGGTATCCAGGGGGTGCCCTGGCTTGGGACAGGCATCGGGTGGTGCTCACAGAAGGTGATGGGACTGTGTGGGCATCTCAGCTGCAGCAACACCCACTCATCTTCCTGACTAATTGGCTATGCAAGAAAAATTAGCACCAAACCAAACTGGCAGTTGTTTTCCTGAAATCCTCTGCTGAGAATTTGATAATGATGATGATGTTTTCGCCTTCATTCTCTTTTAGGGCTGGGAGCAGAAGGGTAATAAGTCAAAGCTCTCCATCACTGCTATCACATACCCTGGCTGAGCCATTAATGCTTCTTATGTGCACACCGGCACCATTAGCCTGGAAACAAGCACCTCGCAGGAGTCCTGCCTTAATTCTTTTCCCCTAGGAAAAGCTACTTGGCGGTTAATTAAAATTATTGCTAATGATGCAAAAAAAGGCCATGGGTGGGAAATCCAAACTCCCCTGCACTGGGCTTGTTTAGCATCGGCAAATCAAGCAGACTGCCGACAGCATCATATGGCGGACGTTCAGCTCAACAGGATAACCAGCTCTGGGAATGGGGAGGGTGATAAAAGCCATTTATCCTGACTTTAGCAGGGCTTTTCATGCTGTCTCACTTTTCATTCTCATAAGCAGACTAAGGAAAACGTGGTCTAGAGGAAGCTACTGAAGGATAAATGCCAAATGGGCCAGCAAACTGTTGTTTAAGAGCAAATATCAGTTATCTATCACTGACATGGGGGGATTTATTAACTGGATTTCCACGGGGACTATCCTCGGTCTGATCTTTTCACATATTGTCATTAATCACGCAGGCAGTGGAACAAGAATATATTTCTAAGTTTTCAGGCAGTGGGGAGCTGGGAAGCACAATACAAATTCAGAAATTATCCGGAAAAATTGGGCAAGCAGCCTGAAAAACCCACAAATCCTCAAATGCAAATATCCAGGATGTGGGGAAAAGCCTGAAGGTACCAAGGACTCACCAGAAGCACGGACTTGCAGGGCTGTGCTCCAGCAGCAGGAAAGGCTGGGGGCAGCCAGGGACAACTTGCTAGTAGGGGACAGCAAACACCCTAACTTGTCAAGTCACGGGGGTTTAACTGCACCCCTCGGCAGTCAAATCCTGAAGAGCCTCTGCTAAGGGATGCTGGATGGAGGAAAAGAATTCAGGGCTACAGCTGGCCCCGAGGTGCCACAGCCACAGCTGGATGCCGGGACCACTCCAGGCACTGGGATTAATTAGGGATCTCTGGGTCCCAGCACATGAAATAATGATGAGGTTTAAAAATCTGCTTTAAAATGCCACTGTCACCTTCACAAGTGCCAGGGTTGTGCAAGGAACAGCATTCCTCCTGAAAAGAGCAGTGCAGGGCCCCAAAGCATCCATGGAACAGGATGAGACCCAGCACCATGGGGATGCTTTGCAGCCCCTTCCCATCGGCCAGGGTTGACAAGAGCTCAGAGCAGGCAGCAGGGACTTTGCACCCATGGTCACACAGCACATCTCCCACGCATCCATCAAGCACAGCCAAGCCTTTGCTGAATGTATTTCTCAAGGAGCTCTTGGCAAACCCAAATCCCTCGCCTTGCTCCATGGGGTATCACACAGATCCCACTGCAAATTCCAGCCCCACCGCCTTCACCCTCGGGATGATCTGTGAGAAAACACTCTCAGCCCAGTAATGCCTTAATTTGCTCGGCTGCCCGGCATGCGTGAAAAGCCAGCTCCCTCTGCCGGCTTTGCTTCTTAAATAAATTAACTTTTGCCTCTGGAGGATCAGAGCATAACAAGAACCCTTGCACCAGTTAATCCAATAAGGATTAACGGCTCTCCTATCGCATACGGGGACTCAAAGAATAAAGTTAAACAACTGCCGTGGCCAGGTAGCAGAGCAGGAGCCTCCCCCATGGTCCTGCCTCCAGCTCCTCTGAGCAATGCTGCCCCAAGCCCAACCAAAGCAGTATGTTGGGGTTTTCCTTAGCTTCTCCACACCAGCCACCTTCAAGTCCACCAAAACATCCTTAACGTCTGCTGACAGTTGACATGGAGAGGTGGGACAGCAGAGAAACTGCTCCTTGTGGCACACACCAGCAATGGCCGATGTGTCCTGGGCACTGCACCAGGGTGGCCGTGGCAGGGGTGTGATGGACCTCTCCTGTGAGCAGGAGCTGCTGTCTTAAAATCCCTCTGGAGCACAGGGAGAGCCTGGGCTCAGCACCCACCTCACACAGATTTGCCTTTGGACCTCGGCTAATTCCTACAGGGACCTGGAGCAGACCCAAAGCTCCTCTGCCCTGCAGCAGGTTGCAGCAGGGGCACCCAACCCCATCCTCCCAAGGAGGAGAGGGGATGCAGTTCCCTGGTTTGCTGCTGGGGCTACAGCCAGGTCTACGTGCAATTGTGCTGATTTGCTTCAGCAGATCTCATGGGTAACGTTCTTCATGGTGATGCTTTCATCCCACAGATCTAGTGATACTTCCCCAGTGCTGGCGACGCCTCGCAACACCACGAAGTTTGAGGTTTCCAACCCGTTCCTAACGCACAAGCAGCTGCAGAAGACAGCAGTTGCTTAGCCTAGTCCTCAAAACCCCAACCCACACGAAACAATGCAACCGCACAGAGAAAGGGGCTGAACCCAGCCATTACCGCCCTCTGTGAACATCTGGGAGGCGAGAACCCTGAGCACAAGGGCAGTGGTAGTCAAGGAAAAAAAAAGGCAAAGCTATGGGATTCCTCAGACACTTGCTCAGTGGGAAAAAAAAGGTCTTTAAAAGGTGGAAAATATGGATCAAAAATAGAAATGAAGCAAAGGTCTCAGACACCCTGAATTCAGCCATAGTTTTGCCACTCCAAGATGCCCCTTGCAACACTGGCTCAGCAAAGCAGTTAAGCCTATGCTCAACCATCAGCTCCTGGCTGGACCCCAGAGATTTTGGGGGACTTTAAGAAATTTACTTTAAAACCAGCATGTGCTTTGCTAAATCTGGTGTAAATAAACACGAAATAGGCAATATAATAAGTGATAGCATAAGAACAAGCAGGGTAATGCACCATTCTATTTTATAACATGGATTTGAATACTTAAGGAGATTTTTTTTTTTTTTTTTTTCCCCATAGAAATATGTTAAATGTGAGCTCAGCCCCAGATAATTTGATCTTGCTGTGGGCCAGAGGTGTTGGCTGACCTTCAGCAGGGCACAGGGTCAGTGCCGTGGCTCCCATGGTAGGACATATCCCAAATATTTTTGGTATAATTTGGTGTTAAATATGCTTGGAATCACAGTACAGCCATACTCTGGCAGACAGTTCAACACCTCTTGGGAAAACAAGCTGTTGCAGACACTCGATGGGAAGCTTTGATGGCTCAGGACCCAACTTCCCAGCCACTTGACCCTCCCACGTGAGGATCCTCCCCAGCATCTATTTATACGGTCACGTCTGAAGTGTCAAAGATGCACTTTTGAGTCATCTCTGTGAAAGGAAAAGCTCTTTTAGCTCTGAAAAATGTACACGTGCTCTGCCTTGTGGCACAAACACCCCCCTGCCACAAGCACCACAGCACTGACTCCTCTGGGCACCTTGGCTGCAGGGATGCTTTCACTACAGAGACGTGGAAACCTCAGACCAACAGCAGATTATTATTTTTTTTCCAAGAGGAGAGGAATATCCAACCACCAACTCACTCGCAGCAGCAAAGCTGGACTTAAACACCTGCACTTCCAAGGGGGAATAGGAGCTGCGACCAGGATGAGCCCCAAGCTCACCACTGCATGGCAAAGCCTTGTGCCACCCCAGTTCAGCTCAACATGGGTGAGGGAAGTCTAAGAGACCTGGATTTTAAAGCCAAGAGGTGCTGTCCTGCCCAGCCTCCTTGACTTCTTCACTCCTGCTCCTCAGAGCAACTCAGCTGGGCTCTCACCTGGATCTGGACCCCCATCGATGCCAAGCTGCCCCCGCACCATACCATACCTTCACAATTTCTTGTGCTATCTGCCTTGTCTTGTTGACATCCAGGACGATTTTGGCATCTCTCACCACTGAGTAGAGAGTCCGTCCTTTACACAGGCTGAAAGAACAGGAAAAGGGAGAAGAGAAAAACATGGTTTATAAACCCCCGCCAAGAAACATCCCCAAATTATAAAGACAGCGGCTGTGGCAGGAACTATAAATAACTGCAAGAGCTTTGGCTACATCTCAAGGCAGATTGGAGATTCAGCAGGGAAACTGGGGGGGGTCTCCCCAGTCTGGCACTGGGAGAGAGCTTGTGCTGCTTCCTGATGTGTGCTCGTACCATCACCATGGTGCCGAGCCCTGTAAGGGGTAACCCGGGCTGTTTCCTGGCTCTTCCCCACGTCCCAGCCACGGGCAAACCACCTGGTCCTCTTGCTTCAGACTTTTTGTGCAAAACTGGCCGCGGCTCCCCGCCTCTTCCCTCAGAGGATACAATACTCACAGATGTAATATGAGTCAAAAGAGGAAAGACAGGGAGGAAAAAAAAAAAAAACACAACCAATGCACTGTACAATGTCCTCCAATTTTCCTTCTCGTACCAATTACAGTAAAATCTATTTACAGAGCCTTAATTACCAAAGGCAGCTGGAGGGGGAGGGGGGGGGATATAAACCAATTAAAAATATATTGACATTTGAATATCATAATGGAGTACGTGGGTGGATGGTGCCTCGACTCCCGCCCACAAAAAAGGGCTTTTTTGCTTTTCTATATCCACCCACGCTCATTACAGACAACTTTAGAAAGATGAGACTGGATACCTGTGCCTGGGAAATAAAGCGTCCGACACATCTCGTTAAAGAGGCTTCGGTGGCCACAGATGTTAATTTGATACTGTTCTAGTTAACAAATGAAAAGTTACAGGTTTTAATTCCTCTGCTTTCCCCCTGCTGCATCCTTGCTCACCTCCACTGCTTTCCCCCTTTCCCATCTCCTCCAGCCCCTGGGATGCCAGCATGGACTAGTCTGGATTTGTCCCCTGGGAGATGAGGGGGTTTGACCTTTTTGGATGGAAATAACCAGCCCAAGCTATCTCGTTTAAAGAGCTGGGGAGCATCACATCAAGCTGCCCTGGGTTTCCCTGGGTATCATGTTGCTCAGATGGGGAGAGGGGGCAGCTCAGACCCCCGGCTTGAGCAAGGAAGAAGAGGCACACCAAGGGCAGCAATACTCAGCACAGCCCTGTGGAGAGGTGAGCAGCCCAGCCCCACAACAACTTCCCCTGGGTGGCAAATCTGGAGAATCATGGTAAAGCCTCGCTTTTACTCTTCACCCTGAGGCTGACTCACAGCAGTATGATGAGGCAAACCCCCCAGGAGGCTGCACCATGTTTTCCCTGGGGACACTGAAAATGGCAACAGCAGTCCCCCCAAACCACAGCGTGGTTGCCATTCCCCCATCATTACTGCAGGGCCAAGGCCATCACCTGGATGCAAATAAGGTCCCTGTGAGCGATTAGCCCCCGAGAGCAGAGATGTTGGAGGCTCGCCTCCAGAAAGTTGGGGAAAGCTGAGCTCTCTGCAGCTCTTTGGGGTATTAAACTGATAGGGATTGGGATAGCGCTTATTTAAGCCTTGCTTGCTTCTTCAGAAGCTCATGGATACATAGGACCCTTCTGCTCCTAAGCCAAAAGCTCCATGTCCCTCCCTGGGCAGAGAGCACAATATTCAGGCCAGGCAGCAAAGCAGGAATGGGACCAGTCCCATATCCAATGGGTTTTGGAAAGACAACAGCATCCTTCAAAGTACTCTGTCATGTTGGAAATAGCCTTACCAGGCGTGAGCTGCGGTGGGGATTTTAGGGCATCTTCATACCTGTGCAACTGCCTCCTTGGTAATGGTTTCCCACTCTCAGGTGTCTCAGCATGTCCCTGAGCACACCAGCTGGACTCCAAAACCGAGGCGCCCGCATTTACAAACGCAATCTTCTTCTAACTAAACCAGCCGCTTCATATCTTCTGCAATAGTTTGGCTGCAGTCAAATATGAATTTGTCTGAAGATTAGGATCCAAGCACTCAAACTCCTACTTGGAAATAAGTGATAAAGAAAACCCTTGGGTTTCTGCAACTGGAATTAAAGGGTGCAAAATAATGACAGACATGAAGTCTTTTTCTGTCACCTTTACAGTATTAAGTTTTTTTGTGTTAATTTGCTAAATAACCCTGTAAAGCTTTAAGCTCTGCAATGTAACAGGCTTTCTGCTTCCTCCCATGACCTGCCTGTGCACGAAGGAGTTTCCCCAGCCCTCCCCAGTCCCCAGCAAACGCTTGTTTTCCCCCAGAGAAAACCATTCCAGAAAGTTGCTTGTGGTCTGCATTAGTCATGAATTGACATTGCAAATGCAATGAACAGATTAGTGCTTGAACAGGGCTTGATTTCAGCCCTAAAGTGAGTTAAGATCAGCTGGTTTCCTGGAAAAGGGTTGTTAGAGAAAATCCTCAAATTTCTGCCTATCTGAACTTCAGAGATAACCCCGGGAGCAGAGTCTGCAGCCCTTTCTGGATGAGATTCCCATCTCTCCACTTCATTTACAGAGGGACCGCATTAAAGGAGGCAGCGAATGCTCCCAGCATGAGCCCCGGCACAAGAGGAGCAGCCACCGCTCAGAGCTGGCGTGGTGGCATCAGCACAGGGTGAAGCACCACAGGCTTGGGACGTGCCACCACCACTCCTCAGACCTTGGTAGAGCCATCGAGGCAGCCCAGGTGCCTCTCTCCTCCTCTCAATGAATAACTCCTCCGAATGAATTCAACGAGCAACCGCTGCACCGGTATTTGTTAGTTTTCTTGCTGGGTAAGGAACTGCCAATGCAGAGATAAAGCCTGGTTGATACCTATTATGCAGCACCTGAGCCCATTCAGCCACCACCTGCAGAACCTTTTCATGGCAGAGCTCAACAATTTCGCTTCTTCTCGTTCCTCCTCTGCCGTCAATCGTTCCCCATTCGGGCAGGAGCGGCAGGCACAAAGTGCGGCTCCCAGGGCACGCACATCATCTTCTGCCTTTCCACTTCAAGAGGTCTATGCTGAACCACAGCATTGAGGTACCCAGCCGGCTGCGAGCGAGCGATGCTGCGGATCACAAGGCCAGAGACCGCCTACGCTTGACACCAGAAACAAAGGCAGACGATTTGCGTCTTCAGACAGATCCTGGCTTATTCACCACTCAAGTACATATTCGTAAACAAATACTTGTCTTCTTCCTCCTAAACCTCTCCATCCCACCCACTGTCAGAGCAGGAAGGTTGGTGACATGTGCCCCAGCATCCTGCCAAACCCCAGGCAGATCTGAGAGGCAGCAGGACAGCCCAGCCAGGTGGCTCGGGGAGATGCAAAGGTCCTTCTGGGGGTCCCCAGCATCCAGGAGTGCACCTCAACCCACGGTGCAACCTCAGCTTGCAACCTTCCCCAGCACTAGGACAGTCCGGGCCCTGCGGCCCCATCCTGATGCAGATGCAACTCTCTATTCAAAATGAGTTTCTGAAGTGTTCAGCCAAGCAAGCCAAATCCCAAATTGCTTTATAAACACTCTGCATTTCACCAGCGTGGGCTGAAGACATCAGCAATGGGAGCAAAGCCAAAGCGACTTTCAGAGGAACAATTTGGGAGGGATGAGTGAGGAAGAGCTGGAGCACTGCCTCTGGATATTTTTGCCATTCAACATGAAAACAGCCTCATCCATCCCCCACCCACTGGGGTTTTTCCCCTCCCCCACAATATTGATGGTCATCATCTCTGCATTGATGGCCACCACCTCTATAGGTTTGGTGATCTCAGCCTGGCTCCTGCTCCAGGAGCGGGAACAAATCCAGAGCAGATGGTGCAGCGGTTGCACACAGGTTGCGATGCTGTTACTTACTGGTGTTTTGTGGTTTTCTTCCCTTTGCCCAACCATCCACATAAATGCCCATTAAATTAAATAGGATCATTTGAACACCCCAAAGTGATAAATGCCAGACACCAGGAAGCTCATTACTTGCTAGTATATTGATTTATGGGGAACCAGCTCAGATACCATGGTGATAGCCAGCACTATACACCCAGGGGAGACACAGAAGGAGACAGTGGGAATTAATAATAAGTACTTTAATATAAGAATACCTCTGCTAGCAGGTTACATCTGTGCTTGGGGAAAGACAGAGCAAAGGAGAAGCTGCTCAGATGCTTCCACATTCCTCATCAGTTTACTGATTTTTAGTATTTCATGGAAAAGAAGAAATCTTTGGGGAATATTAAGAAAGATATGGCCACAGCAACCTGAGCTGCTGAGCTGGGACTTATTTGATTTCATTTGAGCAAGACTTGCCACACCAGGGAAGAACAAGTACTGCACATGTCTGCACGTGCCTGAGTTATTCGGGAAGTCACAAGCTGTTTCCTTATATTGGCTTATTTTTCTCTTTTACCGACGTCTGGCAATTGTGTTTTTGAAACTAGACAGCCACAAATGTGTTTCACAAACCAGAAAATTAAACAAGGCTGGAAGAGCAGCAAAGGGAGAGTTTTGGGTTAATTTTTATCCCTAGGCTTTGTTTTCCTCAAAATCAATAAGAAATATCACACCCTTGACACACGCTCTCTCTGTTATGCCAGAGTGAACAAAGCAGAGCAGCGGCATCATCCAGCTCAAGTTCCCCAAGCCCTCTGCACCTAAACACCACCCGAAGGACAGCAGGGACAGCTAGCCGGGACAACCATGGTCACACTGACATGAGTTTGTTAGGTCTCAGTTTAAGGAGAAAGCTGACATATGTCAGACACAATAGATATATATTTTTTTTTCCTCTAATGAAAAGCTTGTCGGGGGAGAAAGGCTTGGCTGGTTCCTGGGCCAGCTATCCCCACTGGGATGCCAGCGGCACCCAGTATCATCAGGGCACCAGATCCCCCCAGCCCCAACAAGGGATGTTCAGGGCTGGTTTCACTGGGATTTACCACCCCCTAAACCTCCTGGTGAGGTGAAACAGCTCTTCTCTGAGCCACACACCCCCAGCACCTTGAGATTTAGCATGGAAACATTTCAGCCCATGACTGCAACTCTCTTTTAATTTCTTTC